ATAACTCTGTTCATGGATTTTCACCTTCTGCGGGGGTCTCTGGAACAGAACCCCCACAATAGGCAAGGATCACTGTATACAGGATCTTCAGATTCAGTGGGATGCTCTGCGCCCACTCAACGGTATGGTTAACTGAGACACAAATGGTTGTTCAATGACAATCAATATATAGTCTTAAATGTTCAAATAAAGTTAGTGAATCTACTGAATATGTTGCATTCTAGCGTCCCATTTATTTGTCATCTATTACAGAAACTATAAAATTTGATCTATCGTTCCTGTTTTTCGTTGAGACCTCAAAACGGAGATGATCTCTCATTTTTGTTACTGGCGGCTTTCTGTTTTCTTCTCCATCTGATCTTCAATCTTTCCCTTTACCTTGGTCGATCATTGTGCCTTTTAACTTCACCTCGTTCACATGGTAGACTAAAGCCCACCGAGAGTGTTTTACTGATTCTTAAATAAACAAATCACAGATTATCATGTTTGTTTAACATTTCAAACCCTGAACGAAGACTGACAAATCTCAAATAATCCAAAGAAAAAAGACCACAGTTATATCAGAAATGAGCAATTTGAACTTGAATTTAAGCACTTTAACAGTTTCTGTTTTAAATGTGCTAAATAAATAAATCTGATTTGACTTGAATTTAACAGAGCCACAATGAGTGCTGCACAATTTATCACAAATTTATTGTTATTTCAATATCAGTGAGTAGAGTATACAATATCAGGACTGCCAAGAACTGTTTGGACTGCAGTAAATCATAGGCAGTATTGTGCACGTGTTCTGCATACACAGTGTGGACCTATGCCACTAAAAATGGCAGCCGTTGCGCAACACACCTCTGTCTTAAGGTTATATCTCACTGGTCTGAACCTGCTGGGAGTCTAAATAGTGTCTCAAAATCTGCAGTCTGAATTCTGAGTGTTGGTGACCACGCGGAGCGAGCTATGTAGTCTTGTTTATAGCTAATAGTTTTTCAAAATCACGGCCTGTTTTTGTGTGCACAGTTTGCAAAACTTCATTCTTGACTGCTGACATGATTTTGTTGTTCTACTTCATATGTGGCTCGGCTCGTGTTGGTTGTCACTAGGGATGCACCGATCCACATTTTTAACTTCCGACCCGATCCCGATACCTAAATCTGGATATTGGCCGATACCGATCCAGTTCCGATATCATCATCATTATTGATTTTATATGAGGCTGTAATAATCTCCTCTCAAATACAATTTATACAAATCTATGCATGCATGTCCAAAAAAGCAACTTGAGGTAAGTTTTATTAATGCTGGATAAGTTAGAATTAAATTCTGCTAACACAAAATGTTTTTTTTTTTTTTTAATTCCTATCTTTAAATTGCATATTAAAGTGATTAATTTAAGTGATTGTTTAAAGTTATTTTATATATTTTTTAAAATAAGGTGGAGATATAATAACTTTTTTCTTCTTTCTGCACTCTTTTCATTGAATGTTTTGTTTTGCTTATTTTGTCTCTTGAATGAATAAATGAATTAAATAAAATAAAAAAAAATAATGGCTTTAAACATCTGCCAAGTTCGTGGCATATTAACCTTTATTTAACCAGGCAAATCCCATTGAGATCACAGATCTCTTTTGAAAGGGAAGCCTGGGCCTGAAGGCAGACTAAGGGTGCATTCACACCAACCCTGTTTAGTCCGCTTTAATCGAACTCTAGCTCGTTTTCCTAGAAAGTCCGGTTCGTTTAGGGAGGTGTGAACGCGCCATCTAACTCTGTCACGGAACAAAAAGGCGAACTCTGGCCCGGGCTAAAACCTAGGTCTCTGTCCGGTAGAAGCGAACTCCAGCGCGGTTCGAGTGCAGTGTGAATGTAAACAGACCGAGCCCCGCTCCGCAGGGTAAACAAACACGCATTTCTCTGACCTTATATGGAGCCGTCAGCTGCGTTGTGTGAAAAACAATATTCTCCATGGTCTTCTGTCTCATCTTCTGTTCATGCTAAATCCATTTTTGAAAAATGACAAAATATAACTCCTAAAACTGCTAAAACTTGATGCCACTTCGTTTTTATTTTTATTTACAGAAGAAGAAGACGTGTCTTCAGAGGTTTTTGTGTCATTTCTTTCAGTAGTTCTTGGTGCAGCGCCCCCACAGGCGAGCGGGGGAGTAGGTTGGTTCAACAGGTTGACTCGACTGCACAGTGCAGTGTGAATGCAAACGCACCAGCTCAAATGTAAACAAAAGGTCATGAATATTGGTCCCCAACCGAAACGAGTCTACCGGACTATCTGGTGTGAAAACGACCTTGCATGCATGTTTTTAAATTATGGGAGGAAACCGGAGTACCTGGAGAAAACCCACGCATGCACGAGAAGAACATGCAAACTCCACATAGAAAGACCCCAGGTCCAACCGGGGATTGAACCCAGGACCTTCTTGCTGTGAGACAACAGTGCTAACCACTGAACCGTCGTGCTGCCAAACACCAACCAACACAGACACGTTTTTTTAGTATTTTACATCGCTTTAGCTGTTTTATTTTTTTTAATATATATATAATTTTCTTGTAATTTTCAAATCATGTTTTTATGATTGTCTACTGTTGTACTGATAAATATCTTCTGGAGGGTAAACTATATCTTGGTTACAAGTATGAAGCTGAGAAATACTTCGTTTTCTACAACTGATAGTGGTTGATCATTAATTATGATGAAGTTTAGCAACTTTTCAGTAAGCATTCGAGCTCCGTGGCTTCAGCGATGTGCCCTGCTTGTTCAATCCACAGCAGTCTGATTTTGGTCAGCCGCGTTCAGTCTGCCCCTCCTCGGAGACGGGCAGACCAGACTCGGCTGGCCAGGGTCGGGCTGCCTGCTACGGGTTCAGCAAGAGGAGCAAACCGCTGAAGTCAAGGAGCTCGAACGTCCAGCGTAAAACTAACTTTACCGCGTTTTAATGTGGTGCTGTGGCTCTGCAGGCATTGCACGTTACTGTCTTGTTTTGTGGTGTTTCTAGTGTAAAATACTTCCACACAGTAGGGGTTGAACGAGTATATAATTTTTAAGCTCGACATTAACATAATAAAACCCGAGTAGAACTCGAGTATTTGATGACGTCATAGATCTCAAGATACAAAAATAAATAAATAAATAAATAAAACCGCAAAAAAAGACAAGTATTTACAAAAAAATAGACCAACAAAACATTGGGAGCATATATTATGCTCCTACCATTTATCATACTGCAAATAAGTCACAGGAAAAACTAAACTATTTGTTATTATTATTAAACTGCAAACGTGAAGAAACGCAGCACGTCAAAAACGAAACTTAAACCGAAACTGGTTCTGGTGGATTGGACCCGGTGTTACACCATACTCTGTGACCTGCAACAGTGCAACACCGCCCCCTACGGTCATACGTGGTCACATACGTGGTCCTGTGCTCGAGCATCAATGTGTGGCATGGAGGCTGCACAGCTGCGGAAAGAAAAGCTTTGCAGAGAGTGGTGAAGGCTGCACAGAAATCTGTTGGAATCAGTCTCCCCACCATCACAGACATCTACACCTCCAGATGCAGGAAGAGGGCCACCTGCATCATGAAGGACCCCACCCACCCAGCACACTCACTTTTTGCCCCACTCCCCTCAGGAAGGAGGTTAAGGAGCATTAAGTGTAGAACCACTAGACTGAGGAACAGCTTCTACCCTGAGGCTGTTAGACTCATGAATCTCTAACTAGAATAATCACTGTGAAAAACCATATCATGTTGCTGCTGATCTGTTTCATGTTGCTGCTGATCTGTTTCAATGTTGATGTGTTCATGCGTGCACATCTGCTCACAGACTCATGTTCATGTTTGTGCTGATGTTCAATGTTTTATGTTATGAGTGCTTAGTGTATATTTAGTTGATGTTTTTCTTAGTTCATATCTTAGATCTTATTACTGTTTTTCTTATACATTTTATTGTTGGATGTAACTGGGACCCTGTGTACATAATTTCGCTCCACCACATGTACCACATGAGGTGCGAATGACAATAAAGAAACTCTGACTCTGACTCTGATAATATGACGTCACTACAGATACCCGACTTTACATTTTTAACCTCGATAGATGTCCTAGCAATCGATGTGTAGATTACTCGAGTACTCTGTTAATGCCCTACCACACAGCGGACATGTTTAGATGAAAAGTTTGTTAGCTGTTAGCCACAGTGCTGCTAACTCAGTCCTCACGTTGTAGCTGGCTGCAAACTATGAACTGGATTTCCTGAATGTGAGGCGGGTCTTATTACTCTGGGTTCATGAGACACGCCTCCATTCAGGAAATCCATTCCATAGTTTGAAGCCAACATTCATCATGGATCAGAATTCTCTGTAGGTTGGATCGGAAAAATCCGATACGTAAATTATGCTGATATCTGAGGCCGATACCGGATCGGCCCCATCACTAGTTGTCATTACAACTTTTATGACTTAGTTTGTCAGAGTACACTTTAGAAATGAAGATGGATCTTCAAGACCTTCAATAAATATTTTTTTCATTCAACCTTTATGTATACAGGTTAAATACCGTTGAGCCTCGGGGACTCATTTACAAGAGAGACCTGATTTTTTTTTTTTTTTCCGATTATGAATCACCATTGTGGTTTTTAGACCTGAACTTCAGATATTTTTGTCAGAGAAGTCGTAAAACAGCTTTAGTGCTTTTGAGATTGGTTGGACACATTTTGAGAGAAAATGTCAAATTTTATTAAACATGTCTGAAATTTAAGCTGTGGCTTATTTTACCTATTTAAAAGCTGGTGTGTGCTGAGACAGTCCAAAGTGTACTCAGGAATGTAAACAAATGATGTCTAATTGTTTGCAATGAAACCTGACTCTGCTGATTTCACTCATTCCATGGAGGGACGAGGGAGAATTGGAAAGACTGTCCGTCTGTCCATTCATCAGTGCTTGTTGTGAGCATGATAACTTGAAAAAATAAATTAAATATCAACTTCCATTTTGGCATTGGGCTGCATCTAGGTGTAAAAATGGTTCCCTTTGGAAATTGGGTTCCTGCCTATCGTGTATATATAAACACCATGCCATCATTTGAAAAAACTATGCTTTCTAGTTGTTATATTGCTTAAAAGTGTAGTTTTATCAAATAATTGACATAATGCTCACGCAGATTGCTTTGCCCATGTGGACATGTAACCCAAGGTGAATTAACCTTGGACAAACAAACAAGATAGTCGAAATGGCTGATGTAGTGAAGCTCACAGTTTTACCAGAGGCATTTGGTGAGGCATTTCTGCCTTATCAGCCAACATTAAGGCAAAAAACACAGATAAACCAATTTGCCTGTCTTTGCTTATTTGCCTGGGCTTAGCGGAGCGCTGCGTTTGTATTGCTCGCTGTTTGGACTCCGAGATGAGCTGCTACAATCTAGAGGTGGTGGAGCTGCTTTGGGAGTGGGAGATTTGGTTGGTGAGGCGCTCGGTTCTGTTGACAAAGCAGGGCGCTCTCCTTGAATAATGGTACGGGAAACACTGCCTTTAATTTAACCAAGGGCGTCACAAGCATCCGTAATGTAGGAGGGACACATTGATGTTTGTAGGTGTGTGCGCGCACGCGCACACAATGTGCCCGTGCATGTGTGCGCATGTTTAAAAAATGTGTTCACTAGAGTACAAAAAAGCAGCCTTTCACCTAGATTTCTTTTAATTCCACACATTTAAAACATGTTTCTCACCAAGTTTGTGTAAATTCAGCTGTGGGTTTTAAAGACATTTTAACTTTAATGCACTTTAATACACTTTAACACACAGCGTCAGGTCGACACTATTTATGTTTATAGAGAAATAAAAAAACATCACCACTAGACATTTTAACTTGTGTTCAACACTACTCATCTATCAACCTTTATTTAGACAGGTAAATCCCATTGAGCCTCTAAATCTAAATGATGTTTCTCATGAAGCTTGAAGACAATAAGGTGTGGGGTTTTAAAGACATTTCAGCTTTAATGCACCTGAACACACATCGTCTCTTACACCTGCAGCCTCACAGTTACTGCTAAGCTAAAATGCTACAGTCGTAGCGCTCGTCTCAAGCATCCTCCTAACATGAATATATGTTTATGATCAACCCCCCTGGTCAACAACTGCCCGCACAAAGCTGCTAAACTGGCAAGAGAGTAACACAGAGGTGTCTCCATCTACTCCACCTGTGCGCGTTTTCTGCCGAAGCAGGAGGAGACGCACAGAAACACTGCAGGTGTTGCACCGTATTCTGTGACCACCGTACATTGTGACCGTGGCAACAGACTGCTGTGTTTAGAGTTGAAGGTAACCAAGAAAACTTGGAGTGGAGTTTTAGTGGTTTGAGTATTCTCCTATTAATCAAGTGGAATGGATTTGTTCACGAAGAAAGAGAAACTGCGCCGCCTGAACTAATGTTTTATAGTAAAATTGTGTGTGTGGGGGGGGGGGGGGGAAGTTTTTTTTTTGGGGGGGGGGGGGGGGGGTACTTGTCCCCATCACATATAATGGTTGCGACGCCTGTGAATTTAACCATTAAGCATAAAATTTAAAATTATGGCCAAATGTGAAATATTGACTTGCTACAATCTCTACTGTAGGCTTTTGGTAGTGAACAAAGCATATTTATTATATTTTAATTTTTAATCATAGATGATACACATATAAAAAAGTTTATAATTTATACCACTTAAAAATTGCATATTTTGACAGCTTTTATGGCTTTAACAAACTGAAATGGTTTGTGTTGTCAGGCTTGTTACAATTATTACTCAAGCGATGACATCAGCAAGGATGGAGATGGAATGGATGAGCAGTGCAGGTAACATTTGCTGTTAAACTTAACAAGTAATTATTTGAAGTGTTTTACTGATGACTAACGGAGTCCGTTTTTCTTCTTATAGGTGGTGTGCTGAAGGTGGAAACTTGATTTGTTGTGACTATTGCAGCAATGCTTTCTGCAAGAAATGCATTCTGAGAAACCTCGGAAGGAAAGAACTGTCCAGCATTTTAGAGAGCAAGTGGTACTGTTACGTCTGCAGTCCTGAGCCTCTTTTTGACCTGGTGATGGCATGCGACAGCGTCCTGGACAATATAGATAGCCTGTGGTGTCAACAGCGAAAGAAGAATCGAGCTGAGCCGGGTAAACCTGAACTGTACCACATGTCTCCACACCTGCCGCAGAATATTTCTTTGGATAAATGGGATCACAGCGGCATGGATGGGAATGTGATCTTCAACTACAACACACTGCAAGTTTCCAAAGACACAACTAAAAAGGCCAAACATCTAGTGGACTCGACAAATGCTTTAAACAAAACATTTCTCGGTTTCATTCAGGAAGTAACGACAAACAAACGGAAGCCAGGGGTTCGTTTCTTGTATTTGAACTCTTTTGTGGCTGTTGTTAAAGGTTTGCGAAAGTCTCTTGCAGCCCTGGAGGACAGCATAAAAGAAGAATTTAGCGACTTGGAGGTGTTGAGCAACTGGGAAAAGTTGCTTAGAAATGATGTTGATGCTGTTGTAACGGGAGGAAACGTAGAGCTGGATGTAACAGATGAAAGATGCTTGCTTGACCTGCAGAAACTGGCAACGGAGCATTTTGAAGATAACGATTCTGATTCAAAGGGATATATAGACACGGCAAGTCCAACTGACTGCTCTCTGAAGAACATGCATAAAGGTTTTAAAGAAGCTAGGTGTAGAGCACAGAAGATTAGCCTGACCCCTTCTGCAAATCAGTCTGACGTGGTTAAAAAACTGATTGTACAGCTCACACCTGTAGCTATGGAGCAGGAGCAATCTTCTGATGCTCCAAAGTTAGAGGAGGGTTTCCAAAAAAAGGACAATATAGCAAAGGGAGAGCATGTATCAGAGGCTGAAGAAACAGGTGCTTTAAGTCCTAAAGCTGACAGCAAGTTGAGCAGTGACAGCTCCAGTGCTCCTCTTTTCCTAGAAGAGGAACAGGGCAATAGACGGTCCCCTCGTGTGAAGACGACTCCTCTACGCCGACCGAGTGACGCCAAGACCAAAACTCCTCTGTTAGCAGGGGACAGTGACAGCGACTCTGAACCTGAGGGGACGCCAGACACCATAACTGCAACAAACAGCAAAGAACCAACTTTGATTAGAGAAAGAGACGAGACTGATTCAGATGAAGTCCCTGCTGCCCTGCTTGAACGAGCAGCTATGACACAAAGCTCAGATGAGCCTCAGAGCGACGAGGAACAGGGTCAAGCATCGGCAAACAAAGTCGCCAAGAAATGCCTGTTTTGGCTGACCAAGAGCAGCCCCATGTCGCCAGAGAAGATGCGTCGAAAACGCAAGCTGCTCGATCGCTCCCCCGAGTCTGAGTCAAGCAGCAGACTGACCGGCGTTCAACAGGGGAGCGAGACGGATTCCTCCAGCGATGATCAAGACTCCCAGAAGAAAATACAACACTTGAATACAGTGAGGTCGATAGGGATGCCTCACCTTGTCAAAAGAGAAGAAGAAGGCGTGGTTAGAAAGCAGAGGAGACTGCGAGCAGGCAAGTCTACAACCAAACCTCATCGGGATGCAACAGATTCGTCATCGTCATTAAGTGATGATGAACAAGATGACGACTCTGGGAGTGATGGAAGTGTTCAGAAGATGAAGCCCATCACAGAAAATGTGGCCTCACTCGGAGTAGCAGCATTTCACCAATCATCAGGTTTGTTATTCTTTCAGTAGATTTTCTCAGTGGTTAAGTTTAAGTTACAAAAGTCTTGTAATACTTAGCAGTATCAATGCTGCACACACTGATGTTGCAGTATTCATAATGTTTTTATATTTTGAGGAGCCGTAACTTGAGCCAGTGGATCTTAAAAGTCCAACACTCATCATTATAGTCCCAAAAGCTCGTAAGGTGTAATCACTGTAGTAGAATACAACGGTCAGTGTTTTCCCATTATTCAAGGAGGGCGCCCCACCTGCCAAACCCCCACCTGCAACGCAGCTCCGCCACTTCCAGATGGGTGGAGGAGATTGTAGCAGCTCAGCTCAGACTCCAAACTGGGCACAATAGAAATGCAGAGCTCCGCTACACCAGTCCTGGTCGACCCATAGAAAAACTGACGGTACAAACTTAGCGCTAAGCTATCCATACCCTACACTTTATACAGATGTAGCGTTTCACTTCATACAACACACACACCTGTCAACAACAAATTAAAAAAACCCTGACATTATCACCCTCCCAGGTAACCTAGGGGAAACACTGATGGTTATACTTTTTTTTTTTCTACATTTGGGCCAGACAGTTGTGGAAAAATTAATAATAAGCCAGTTATGGAAACACGCAAGCACAGAGCCGATGATGGTTGAAAGATGATGATGTCAAGCCAGGGATGGGGCACATGCATGAGAGTGTATTCCAGATGGATGCATATTATAGTGAGGACGATTTTAGTGGAGAAAGTTCAAGTGATTTAGAAGGTATCTGTGAATAATTACCTGCAAGCGATGAAGAAGAAAGAACTGTTTGGTGAGAAATTCTTGCTCAACAAGGCAACTCCACAAGAAGACTCATCAGTTCAGGAGGGACCTTGTCTTAAAAACCCTGATTGGTATGTTCTCGTGTTTACAATAAAACAAACATTCTATTAAAATAAAAAAAGAACAACAGGAAATCTCATAAAAACAACATTAAAAAAAACCAGTTTGGGTTATTTTTCAAGGTTTGCCTCAAAAAAAGGTATTTATGTGTCTATCATATTTTGCTAGATATGTAATATGAGAAAATGGTGGGTGTTGGACTTTAAATATTCTAAAGGAGTCAATTGAAAAGTCAAAATGCATGTTGGGAAAAGGGCTTGATGAATTTAATCTTTTTTGAGGACAAATAGAAACTAAAAATTGCTCTTATCCAAGCTACTTTGTAATTTCCATTTTGAAATTATATAAAAGGATAACGATGGCAAAATCAAACGGTGTCACATTTTTTGAGCAGTTGTGCAAAAGTAGACCACTCATGTCAGACTGGGAGGAGATTTTGAAATATATGAACTTTTTCTGCTTAAGAAACATTAGCTGAATTTATAACAAGTGTTTGCTTGTTTGTGTTTGTAGGGGATGAGGAGCAGTCCGGGCCCTCATGGGCAGCAGAAGATGATGATGATCCAGAAAATAGGTATGCTTCAATAAGCCCGGATGTTAAGTTTGTAAAACACCCTAGCTGTAAAAGTGGGGACGCAACTTCCGATCCTAAATTCTGCGCAGAATCTGGCAACCCTCGAGTCATTAGAGCTCAGCTGCAACCTATCAATCAAAGACCTAAGCGTAGCTGCAGAGCACAAAATATCCAATACAAGTTCTAAAAAGACTGAGACACGTGGTCCACACAATGCTTCGGTCAGACTGAACATCACCTGCAGCAGCTTTGTGACTGATTAGCAAAGAAAACCCAGCTTGTTTAGATGGTTCAGAGCTAATAAAGTCTATAATTTAAATACCAGAGGGGAATTTATTATATTATTATTTGATTCTCTTCTCTGTGTACTTGTTTATGCAAAATTATAAACCGCTTAGTTGACTTCTTCACCCTGGTGCATTAACTAATGATTAAAGGTTGTTTTGCCGTACAGATTGATCTGTTAATGCAGCACAGAGACGGTGTTCTGATTGATGTATGTAGAAAGTGTCTGGCTCTGTGAAATTTCAAAACGCACATTTTACCTGGTGTCCACCTTTGAGTTCAGCTTAAAGAAACAAAGTAATGTTTAAAGCTAAGTGTAGAGTTCAAAGTCTGGCTCCAAAAATTATCGATATTTACAGTAAAAAAAACTAAATACAACTTTTATGCAAATGTGTTTCTAGTTAATTTTTGTTTCTGTTTTATTGCTTTGATTTTGCAAAAAGAAAAAGATAAAAAGGCGAGGCTTGTGGAGATGTGGGTCTGTTGAAAAGCTTTGTGCTTCATCATTTTGTTCCTTAATGTGTTCTGGTTGTGGTGTGACAACTGAATTTTTTTCTCCCGTTTTGAGGGGAAAAAATAAATGAATAACATAAAGGCATATGTTGAATAAAAGAAAAATCAGATGCAATGTACATGGCTCCTTAAATGCACTTTTGACTGATTTTATTCAGCTTTTGATTTATTCTAGACTTCTTTTTTAGTAACTTTTTTTTTCCTCAAAGCATTTACCGGTATATTATTTCTCCTATGCATATAATTGTAAAAATTAATTATAAATGTATCTTTACTATTGTTCCTGTAATTGACACATCTTACTACGTTAAAGTCTGCTATGTTCTTGCTATGACAAGGACTGTGATAAATGCTAAAATTTGTTACAGGGCTTCTTCTTTATTAAAAAAGGAAACAAAACTGTATCTGAACAGCAACAACTCATCTAAAAATGACATTAGCAGCTGTATATACTTTTCTGTTTCTGGTGTTGTTTGAAATGTATGCAACAAAGCAAATCATCATCTACTTAAAATGCTAAGTGGTGCTTGGTATTTAGCACTTGGCCACCACTGTCAGTACAGTAATTAAACTTAATATGAAATAATTTAACTAGAACCTAACACACAGCCAGTCTTTGTCCAAAGATAATTAACTTTGAAGCAACAAAATAAGTATTCCAGTCATTAAAATCGTATCTGTGGCAGATCAGAGCAATTTTTGCAGCAGGTTGACTCATACTGGAGCACTGATTTCAGTCAGCATGTGAACAAGCATACAGGTGCTGGTCATTACTTGAATCCTTGAATTTATTTCAGTAATTCCTTTCAAAAAGGGAAACTTGTGTACTATATTCATTCATTACACACAGACTGATATATTTCAAATGCCTATTTCTTTTAATGTTGATGATTAACTGACAACTAATGAAAACCCCAAATTCAGTATCTCAGAAAATTAGAATATTAAGACCAATTAAAAAAAAAAAGATTTTTAGAAATGTTGGCCAACTTTAAAGTATGAACATGAAAAGTATGAGCATGTACAGCACTCAGTACTTAGTTGGGGCTCCTTTTGCCTGGATTACTGCAGCAATATGGTGTGGCATGGAGTTGATCAGTCGGTGGTGCTGCTCAGGTGTTTTGAGAGCCCAGGTTGCTCTGATAGTGGCCTTCAGCTCTTCTGAATTGTTCAGTCTGGCATATCACATCTTCCTCTTCACAATACCTTATAGATTTTCTATGGGGTTAAGGTCAGGCGAGTTTGCTGGCCAATTAAGAATGGGGATACCATGGTCCTTAAACCAGGTACTGGAAGCTTTGGCACTGTGTGCAGGTGCCAAGTCCTGTTGGAAAATGAAATCTGCATCTCCATAAAGTTGGTCAGCAACAGGAAGCATGAAGTGCTCTAAAACTTCCTGGTAGACGGCTGCATTGACCTTGAACCTCAGAAAACACAGTGGACCAACACCAGCAGATGACATGGCACCACAAACATCACTGACTGGAAACTTGACACTGGATCTCAAGCAACGTGGATTCCGTGCCTATCCTATCTTCCTCCAGACTAAAGACGCTTCTGACGCTGTCTCATGTTCAAGAGTGGCTTGACACAAGGAATGCGACAGCTGAAACCCATGTCATGCATACGTCTGTGTGTGGTGGTTCTTGAAGCACTGACTCCAGCTGCAGTCCACTCCTTGTGAATCTCCCCCACATTTTGTAATGGGTTTTGTTTCACCATCTTCTCCAGGGTGCGGTTATCCCTATTGCTTGTTCACTTTTTTCTACCATGTATTTTCCTTCCCTTCGCCTTTCTATTAATGTGCTTGAAGACAGAGCTCTGTGAACAGCCAGCCTCTTTAGCTATGACCTTTTGTGTCTTGCCCTCCTTGTGCAAGGTGTCAATGGTCATATTTTGGACAACTGTCAAGTCAGCAGTCTTCCGCATGATTGTGTAGCCTACAGAACTAGACTGAGAGACCAAAAGGCCTTTGCAGGTGTTTGGAGTTAATTAGCTGATTAGAGAGTGGCACCAGGTGTCTTAAGTTTTGAACCATCCATCCATCCATCCATCCATCCATCCATCCATCCATCCATCCATCCATCCATCCATCCATGCATCCATCCATGTATTATCTTTACCCGCTTGTTCCATTTTGGGTCACGGGGGTCGCTGGTACCCATGTCCAGCAATCACTGTGTGAGGGACGGGGTACACCCTGGACAGGGTTGCAAGTCCATCACAGGGCCACATAGAGACAAACGAGACAAACAACCATTCACTCTCTCATTCACACCTAGGGACAATTTAGAGTTACCAATCAGCCTAACATGCATGTTTTTGGTCTGTGGGAGGAAACCGGAGGACCCGGAGAAAACCCACACATGCACGGAGAGAACATGCAAACTCCACCCAGAAAGGCCCCTGGACCGGGGTTTGAACCAAGGACCTGCTTGCTGAGAGGCAGCAGCTCTACCAGTTGCGCCACCGTGCTGCCCACCAGTTTTGAACCTTTTCACAATATTCTAATTTTCTGAGATACTTAATTTGGGGATTTCATTAGTTGTCTATTATAAACATCAACATTACAAGAAATAAACATTTGAAATATATCAGTCTGTGTATAATGAATGAATAAAATAAACAAGTTTCACTTTTTGATATGAATTACTGAAATAAACCAACTTTATCACAATATTCTTATTTTATGACAAGCACATGTAGATGGTAGTGATTTTACTGACTGACAAGAGTCCCATAAAGAAGCAAAACTCAGATCTTACCCCTCCAGATATATTTGTTCTATTCTAAGTTTTTATGTGACTATAATGGATATATTTTTAAATATGCATCAGTATTTTTAATCACATAAGTGCAGCTGAACCCTTACTACATTTTTTGCTATTTAGGTCAATTCAATTCAGTTTATTTATATAGCGCCAAAATCACAACAGAAGTCATCTCAGGACAATGAACAGAAACATTCATATATATAAAATGTAAGTTAACATTATTTGAGGAGCAGACTGCTTTGAGTCTAACTTCATTGCACTCTTATCTTGAGCAAGCATAAAGGCAACAGTGGAAAGGAAATTTTTCCTCATGAGGAAGAAGCCTTTAACAGAAGCAGGCTCAGGATGAGCGGCCATCTGCTTCGCAACTTTTTGCATAAATTTGCAAGTCCTGCGACTTATACACCGAAGCGACTAATATAATTACCCCCTATATTTTTGACCCAATTTTTGGCTGAGATTTGACGATTTCAGTAATATGGCAAGCCAGTTGTGTCATTAAGAGGTAAAAGTGGCTAATAATGAGACACTTGGCTTGCCATAGCAGCCACCTTCATCTTGTTCCGGAACTCCTCGAGCAAATGTCAAATCAGCTGCATTTCGCCGTGCCACCCAGGTGAAATGCATCTGATTTGACCATTAAAGTGCATTTATTAAGGAAAAGTTCAACTGAGACGCACCTTTGCTATAATGTCGAGCAAACAAATAATTGTTTTTAAGTGTTAACCTTTTTAAATTCTTGTTAAAGTCCTCCCTTGCATGCTCCCTTGGACGCCATTTGGCAGCCAATCAATTTTTGGCACAACACCGGCCCACTTTTCCAGGTGGTCAGCGGTAACGCATAACAAACGTGACACTTCAGCTGTGATGCACAATAGATGTGACTTATACGGCGAAGCGACATATTTATGTTTTTTCCCACTTTATTAGACATATTTGCAAAGATGCGACTTATACGATGGTGCGACGTGTTTGGCGGGAAGTATGATGAATCTCTGCACTTACACTACATTGCCAAAAGTATTTGCTCATCCATCCAAATTATCAGAATCAGGTGTTCCAATCACTTCCATGGCCACAGGTGTATAAAATGAAGCACCTGGGCATGCAGACTGTTTTTTACAAACATTGTGAAAGAATGGGTTGCTCTCGGGAGCTCAGTGAATTCCAGAGTGGAACTGATAGGATGCCATCTATGCAACAAATCTAGTCGTGAAATTTTCTTGCTCCTAAATATTCCACAGTCAACTGTCAGCTGTATTATAAGAAAATGGAAATATTTGGGAATGACAGCAATTCAGCCACAAAGTGGTAGTCCACGTAAACTGACGGAGCGGTGTCAGCGGATCCTGAAGCGCAAAGTGCGAAGAGGTCGCCAACTTTATGCAGAGTCAATCACTACAGACCTCCAAACTTCATGTGGCCTTC